TCATATACTGTATTGACTTTCCTTTTTAATTAGTATGCTTTTATTTCGATTGGCTATCTTTATTCTTACATAAAATTTTAGCGTTAGGATTTTTTTTAATAAAACCGCCCAGAACCTACTGTGATCATAACCGGTTAACAAAATTCGGCTCGGTCAAATCACTAAATATTTGTTGAATTGCTTTGCAACCCGATAAGATCTTACACTTACAATGTCAGTATGTAATTGCAATAATTGATTTTGATGTCAACTATAGAAGTAAGGCGGGGTACCAAGATAAAATCACAGTAGTGTTGTTACAAAGTGTTTCTATTAATGCATTTCCGCCAAATTAATTATAGGATAGGTCGAATGAGTTCAAAGTAATGATTACATAAGGGTGCTTTTAGGAATCTTTGCAAGATAGTATATCATGTGAAGCACGTTTTCGCGTAGCACAAAAGCGATTGCCCTGGATCAGTTCGGGCACTAATAAAAATGTCGAGAAGGCAATTTTACCAATACTTGCCTTCGCCCAAACTCTAACCCTAACCCAATTGAAATCATTCACAAAACCGTCATTTTAGACCGAGAGACCTATAGTTTCCTTTTACATAACGGACTATCGGAAATTGATCACTATTTATATAAAGGGCCTTTGCTAATGTTTTCCCTATTTCAGAGTCCAATCGATTATTGTCAAAATTCGAATAAGTCAGAGATGTATCTTTGCATAGAGCTCCTGCTACACGTAACGCTTTCCCATCCTTAGAACCAAGTTCATTACATTAAAAATTTAAAGAGGTTAGAGTTGTATTTGTATAAAGGGCTTCTGTTAATGCTTTCCTTACTTCAGGATCAAAGTTATTACCACTAAGATTTAAAGAAGCCAAAGTTGTATTTTTGCATAGAGCCTCTGCTAACGCTTTTCCACCTACAGAACCAATCCCATTAGAGTAAAGATCTAAGGAAGTTAGAGTAGTATTTATGCACAAAGCTTTCGCCAATGCTTTCCCTGCATCAGGACCAAATCGATTATTGTCAAGCCTTAAAGAAGTCAAAGTTGTATTTTTGCATAGAGCTTCAGCTAATGCCTTCTCACCCTCAGAGCCAAGTTTACTCCAATTAAGATTTAAATAAATTAAAGCAGTATTTGTATAAAGGGCTTTTGCTAATGTTTTTCCTATTTCAAGGCCAAATCGATTATTGCCAAGATTCAAAGAAGTCAGAGTTGTATTCTTGCATAGAGCCTCTATTAATGCAGTTCCACCTTCAGAACCAAGGTCATTATAGTAAAGGTCTAAGGAAGTAAGAGTTTTATTCTTACATAGACCTTTTGCTAACGCTTTCCCACCCTCAAAACCAAGCTGATTATCAGAAAGATTCAAAGAAACCAAAGTAGTATTTATACAAAGGGCCTTTGCTAACTCTTTTCCTACTTCAAAACCTAATTGATTTTCACCAAGATTTAAAGAAGTCAGACCAGTATTCATGCCTAATGCCTCTGCTAACGCTTTCCCATTTTCAGTACCAAGTTTATTGCAATAAAGGTTTAAAGAAGTCAAAGTTGAATTCTTACAAAGAACCTCTATTAAAGCTTTTCCACCAATTAAATTATTGGAAAGATTCAAAGAAGTCAGAGTAGAATTTTGACATAAAGCCTTAGTTAATGCTTTCACACCTTCAGGACCAATTAAATTATTGGAAAGATTTAAAGAAATCAAAGTAGTGTTTTTGCATAAAGCATTCGCTAATTCTTTCACACCTTCAGAACCAAGATCATTAGAGTGAAGATTTAAGGAAGTCAGAGTAGTATTTGTACAAAGGGCCTCCGCTAATTCCCTTCCACCTTCATAACGAAGTTTATTCTGACCAAGATTTAATGAAGTTATGGTAGTGTTTTCGTAAAGAACTTTTGCTAATTCTTTTCCTCCTTCAGAATCAAGATAATTTTGAAAAATTTCTAAAGAAGTCAAGGTTGAATTGTTTGTACATAGAAATCTTGTTAACATTTTAGTTCCTTCAGAAGCAAGATAATTATTAATAAAGCTTAATGAAGTTAAAGCAATGCAATTATATAAAATATCAATTAAAATTTTAGCTTTAAGAAAACAATTCGAAAATTTTAAGGAGACAATAGAAGAGTTTTTACAAAGCCTTTCTATAAATATAGATTCATTATAAATTTTTCCAGTAAAATTTAAATATTTAAGTTTTTTACTAGATCGTAAAAGCATTGTAGCCAAAGAACATTTGACAGCACTTATTAAAGTAATATCGCCATAAGATCCATGTACAGATTTATAATAATTTTCAATTCCTTTGTTTAAATAACAACAGTCAACAGATGAAATAAAACTTGTATAATCAAATAATGGATTTGTAAATTTTGGAAATATTATATTAAAAGGGATTAATAAAGCTTGTTCTTCAACGTTTAACGCTAAAAAACATATCATTATAAGTCTTTTGTCACTAAAACGAACACCTGGATCACTCCATAATATTGGTATAATAATTCTACACCATAAACGGTTTACAAGAAGGCATGAAAATAAGCTTTTACGATATGTTAGAAGATTGTTAAATATTTCATAAAGGCATTCGTTCGGTAATTTCGGCATGTTTTACGTGTTTAAAAGAAAGAACGTTGGGAAATTTTTACATTTATATATATTTGAATATTGTGAAACATTGTGGCCTGTGTGTGCTACGTTTAAATCATTCATCCGGAAAATATGTGGGGTCTTTGCTAGGAAAATAGAGTTCCGAGGTTCCTCTGGCCAAAATTAAGTTTTTATATTTATCTTATTGTATAATATAAGAACTTTGTTTGGTGTTATTTTTATAACATATTGTTATAGTATAGAAGTAAGTTATTTCATCTCGGATTTTTTAATAGAGATTCTTCCGAAAATCTAAAAATAGAATGATATACATTAATCACGTGATTAATGATTATCATACGTATAATCATAACGATAAGTGAGTCACCTCATAACGATAATAATTCCGTTTTATTGTTAAAAAAAAATTCACTATATGGGAAGACTTTACATAGACTGGCTTTTGAGTTTAACTTTGCTATATCGAGAATTTAATTTTGATTAATCTATGCCATATTAAGAGTTCTCTGTAACTTGTATCTTTTATTATTACGTATTATTATCGCAATTTTTGTGTTTGATCAATAATACTACTTACCTCTACTTTATTATTTTTCTTTCAATTTCAAAAAGATGAAGTTCAAAGTTACAATAATAACATTAGAAATAAATCTTTCAATTATAAGTGATATAAAGTTTTAAGTTTATAATTTACTGGATTTAATTTGATTAGTAACAGATGATAATTTAGATTCGATTGAAGTATCTTTTACTGACATTGCTGCACTGGGCAGATTTGTCAGGTGCTGAATTTGGTAAGTTATAAACTTCTTTTAGCGTAACTCAAGCATAACAAAAACTTTATTTTTTTTCTTTATACAGCAGGTATGTATAATTTATTCTTTATTTTATTTTTTTTTTATATAATTATATATTGAATAACTTACCTATTTTTTTTTACTTTTTGAACTACTGCTGATTATCGTTCTATCAATATTGCTTTTATTTTTTTATTACTGCTTCATATATCTTATTATCGCTGCTATTCAATTATCCAGTTACCATTTTATTATTATACACTTTACTATTTATTATATTTACTACGTCGTTTTACTATAATTTAATAGGTATTAAAATAATTATTCAAACAAATAATTAATTTTATTTATTCTTATTTTTAGCTTCAACTGGGTTCATACAATATAAGTCCTTGAACGGATCCTCTACATATTGTCTAATCTTTGTATATAAATAGTGTTTTCTTTCATCAGTTAATTGGTTTGTACGCACAGTTTCTAATGGGGTATTTATATTAAAATCTTTATCTGTTAGTAATTGAAAAGCTACTTCTATTCCACCTGATTCCTTTGACGCATAAACCTTTCCAATATCCGTAGATAAGTTACTAAATCTAAAATGTTGATATTGTGTTATATGAGGAAAATTTGTAAAATGGTTTTTAAATAATAAGGCAAAGTTATACCAGGTCCAACCCAAACTGTTATTATATTGAATTGCCTGGTTTCCTTTTGCTGAATTATTAATAATCATTTCAACATCATTCATAGTATTAACTTTTTGATTCCTATATTTTTTTTTTTATTTGACCAAAAAATAAATCACATATAAACTTTGTGTGACCCGGAATCATAAAGTTTATAGTAATTTCATCATACCAGCCTAGCATTGATAACCAAGAATAAAAAAAAAGAGATAAATTATTTTTGTTTTGGCCACTACAGTTATCACAGGTTATATGTAATTTTTTTTTTCCAGTTCGTGCAAATTTTTGAAGAAAATGATATACCATATTAAGCGTAGTATTAGAACCTTTTGATGTACCTTCAGGAATTTCATCTTCACCTATTATAAAATTTAATTGAAAGTTTTGACCACCTTCAGTTTTGCACACACCAAATAAATATATAGAAAATGGGCTTTTAAAATATATTGATCCTATTTGTTGTGGTGAATATGGAATTGATAGACTTTGTGCCCAATCATAACATACATGTGCGACAGATAAATTATTAGTACTTTCATTTATATTATTATTATAATGTTCTCTTTCTTTTTCAGCGGCTTTATAATGTTGTTCATATTGATTTTTAATTTCTTCATATTCGTCTACATTAGATTTTGCTACAATTAATTTGGCTTTTAAAGTTTCACAAACTTTACATAAGTCACTTGCGGGTGGTTGAAACTTAAGATGCGCCATCATTTCATGCCAAAGCCTTCTAAATGTAAAATATGATATAATGTTTTTAGTATCTTTATATTCGTTATAAAAATGTTCTTTAAATTCATTATAAACAGAAGTATATGTTTTGCCTGTTGGTAAATAAATAAAAGGTTCTGATTCATTTTTATGACGCATTGGAGATGGAAGTACATAAATAATCGCATACTGTTCTAAATATTTTTTATAGGAAAAGTAACACTTGAATCAAGAAATACTTTACTTTCTCTTTTAGCTGCACGTCCAGTATTACCATGAATTCGTTCTACTAATCCTTTACTATATAAATGATCTTGTAATATTGAAAGAATATATTCATTTATACTATAAAGCTTTAAAAAAGCAGGTTTACAAAGTGGATAGGATGAATTATAGGCATATCTAAAATTATGTTTTTCTTTTTGAGCTTCTTCTAATTTAATATTTGTTATTTCAAATGCCATTAATTGTGCTTTTAAGAATAAATCAAGTTCAGATTTTTCTAGAGCACGTATTTGTAAATGTCTTTCAAAAAAATTTTTAAAGCCTACTTTTTCATAGCATGTTCTTAAATCTTTTGATTTAGATTTTGGACGACATTTGCAATTTGATTGATTAAAAAATTGCATTAAGTCATGTACAGTATTAAGAACTAATTCATTCTCTTCGTATTCCTCTAAACCTAGTTCTATTAAATTATAAACTGGTTTAGAATCTAAATTTAAATCTTCGTTTAATGACATTAAAATTGTTAAATAAGATTTTATTCATTTAATTGTTTAATAATAGGCTACATATAAAATCGGTTTAAAATTAACAAGAAATTATAAAACAACTAGGGTTTTTTAAAAAGTTATTTTTTGTTTACTAAAGCCAATATATAAGCAAATAATTATAGTATTATTCAAGTACGTACATACTATATAAGTTCTTTTACAGCAAAATCACGCTTTGAGTATATAGCTTTAAGCTATAAAGAAACCCATATCGAATAGATAATTTCCCAATATAATAGTGTAGAAAATCTCTATTTAACAAATTAATACTAGTAGATATTTAGAAAGGATATTTAATAAAACCATTATTAGAATAAATTCTAAAACTATGTATGTATGTAAAAAAAGATTCATATGTTACTGCATTGCAGAGATGATGATATTCTGCATTTTATGGAATGCTGCAGAATCACAGAATTTAGATAGTAATCGCAGAATGTGTTAAAAGTATCACAAAAATGTTGCAGAAAGTAGGAATATAGCACAAAAATATTACAGAAAGTAAAGATTTATAAGTACACAATCCAACATACAATTTCCAAAAAGTAGAAAATAAATGAGCCTAAAAGATGAGAAATAATCTGAAGTTTTTACTATAACCAACACGAAAATCATAAACTATAATACACGGTAATGCATAGTAATGCACGGATTTTATAATTTTAGCACAGAATTGGCTATTTATTGCCACATG